TTTTTGCATTTAATTTTGTTTGACTGACATCATACTGGGTCGATATAAAAAAGATCCATTAACTAATCAAGAGATATCAGTATCTGCATGTCAACTAACTGATATGATATGCCACGAAAGGTGATTCATTATCTTGACATAGGCTGATGTAGAAATTCACTGAATAGTTTCATTAAATTATTATAAACTGATTAAAATTGTAACCAATTATTTCATTTCACTTACAACATTATTTCAAACTTGAAGTCTTATCAAGCAAAGACGGTTGGTGGCTAACGGTGGAGTATAGGATTCATGTTTCGTTCGACTTGGGACTCGTCACCTGGATGTACCTGCATCTTGAACTTGTTGATGTTCACTTTGGGACTAGAACCCAGTGCCGTTCTCTTCAAACGTCATCGTGTTATATACTTAGCTACTAAGTCCTGATAGCCACATATTTGTGCAATGGGGTGAAATATAAATTCACTTGATATTGTTTGTTTGAATATTTCCATTGATGTTTAGTACTTTAATTGATCAGACTCTTATTGGCATGTGTGCATACTGTATCCAGCTGACGAGTCTCATATAGGAAAAAACGTGCATCCTGGATTCCACTCCTAGCCACTATCCACCTTTGTTTAGAATGTTTGTGATTTAAGGCTATATCGAGGCAATTCGCACAGGATCCACATGTGCCAACACGAGACTGATCAATTGCAGTCCTAAAATCACCAGCGGGAAGACTCAAGTAAACAACAATACCAAGTGAATTGAAGTTATATTGTTTGTAAATTATTTGATTACGCCTGTTACTCCTAATGGAGCATAGGCCGCCGACCAGCATTCTCCAACCCACTCTGTCCTGGGCCTTCCTTTCCAGTTCTATCCTATTTTTGTTCATTTTTCTCATGTCTGTATCCATTTCTCGGCGTAATGTGTTCTTTGATCTTCCTCTTTTCCTTTGACCTTCAGGATTCCATGTACGGGCTTACCCTGTGACTCATTTGGGTGCTTTCCTCAATGTGTGTTCTATCCACTTCCAGCACTTCCTGCTGATTTCTTCCTCCGCTGAAATCTGGTTTGTTATTTTCCACAGTTGGTTGTTGCTAATAGTGTCTGGTCAACGGATCCTAAGTTTTTTCCGTAGACAACTGTTAATAAACACTTGTGTCTACTGGATGACGGCTTCCATTGTTCTCCGACTTTCCGCCCCGTAAAGTAGAACTATCTCGATATTTGTATTGAAAATTCTGACCTCCATGTTAGTTGACAATTGTTTTGAGTTCCAGTTGTTATTCTGGAACGAATTTATTGTTTTTAAATAGTGTTTACCAACGTGATCAGACTATAATTTCACTAGGCAATTCAACCATTTCATACATTTGATTTCAAACTACTTTCAATATTTTTCCATTTGATTAGATTAAACAAATAAGCAAAATGGACTTGTATTCTGTTCATGGATTCGAATTATTCAACGAATAATGGATGCATTTATATAGAAGTGAATTACATTTAAATAACATCTCATATTACCTTTGCTTAATGACTACAAATTTAGAGATTCTAGATAAAACTTCTAAATGATTAGTATTAAGTAAATATTATTATCAGAATGGGAGTCTGTGGAGTTTATAGTCATTTTAATAGTTGGATACATGAGTCAATATAAGATAGACTACTACTGAAGACTTGGAAGACCGTTTTGTTCCAGTATGAAACTCCTCATTAGTGCACATCCATAGGAAGCCGTAACCAATGGAGTCCAATCCATTCCGGGTGTGATTAATTTATCCACCTCATATGATGAATAAAGGGTTAAGCAAGATCATGAACTGATTGGAGTTAGACATTAACACCGTTGAATGCCGACTTAGTAGTTTACAGGTTAAGAGTCCACATATGAGCCAAAGGTCCTGTGTTCGAGTCCCACGTGTGGGGTCGTCGATGCTCACTACTGATGAGTCTCACATTGGGACGAAACGACCTTCCACTACTTCCAGATTTTTGATGTTGGTCTAACTTAGATCGACTCATGAATTCAATTATTAAAATATTTTTTTATTGACATATATATTCGTTACACAACTGTCAACATTCATATTAACATTGAAGAAGGGTTATAATTGAATTCTACTCTTAAATCTTACAGAAATGAAGTGAGTTTATTTATGTTTTTATGTAAGAAGTAAACAGATTGTATGTTATATAGATTATAGGATAGTAATCAGAAGTCAAAAATACTGGACTACTTATAAGTAGTTCACAGATTTTTCTCCCTCTCTCTTCCACACACACGCACACTCGTTTTTTTCGATTATGAGGTGACTGTTGCATTATGAATCGAAAATTCTGTCATGTTACATGAAAGTCATATCCATCAGTTTATCCCTTAACTCATATGACCTATCTAATAATATATTTACAATTTTATATGGGAACTCCTTTTTATTGAGAAATAAATTTAGTACTATATTTTACTTGGCAACAAAATCCGAGTTAAAGTCTCATCACGGCGCTGCTGGATAGTAAGGGATATCTTGCTAGCCAACTTAGATGGTCTATGGAGATCGGAATATTCACCCACTTTGCCGTAACCTTGATTAACCTGAGGCTCACTTAACTATACTGGGCTACTCGATATATATGTTTATGTATAAGAATTGTAGAATTATTCAGGCCTATATAGTTCATGTATACAGGTACATGCAGACGAGTATGCGCGTGGTGTCGTAAAGATGGAAACGTTAGCTGAAATATCATCTGCCTAATCTATCAGGTCAAAAACAGTAAAAAATATGGCAGCAAATACTAGGGAGAGTCGACCAACAACCGCCCGTGAGAAAATGCTTATGCTTATGGGAGCGTCATGAAGTACTGGGTTGGTAGCCATGAGTTAAACGATACCTATGTAACGTGTAAAAGATAGTCTTTTGTAGCAAATACGCTTCTAAGGGAGTGGTGAACATCTACCCTCCCCAGTTGGTGAATATACCTATATGTATGCTATGGGATGCATAGGATAAAACCTGTATGTTACCGGTGTGCATGCAATGTATATTTACTCACAGGATAGATATACCTGTATGCATACCAAGGAATATTCGTATGAAAGTCTGTGTTACCTAGTATGCATATAGACTGTAACTATCTAGGATAAGTAAATACTTCACAAAATCTATAACTTTCTCTTCTTCCCCATAAAATCACATCCACGCAGAGGGTTTGTGAGCCTTGAGAAACACGGAATTCATTCTACAATAACCTACATAGGCTCCACAGGAGAAGGCTTTATCAACCAATCTGGCTTGAACACATACATTTTGTTCTTTTTACATTGCATACATATTTTTCTAAAATATGATAAAATGTCTATAAACATTTATTGTCTTCTTAATGTTTGAGATCATGAGTTATTAGAAACTAGACTACCATGGAAAACTTGGAAGCACTAGACGGCCGTTTCGTTCTATTGTGGGACTGTTGAGCAGTGCGTATCCACAATCCTGCCTCGCGAGATTCGAACCATTGTCTACCAAATAAAATTTCTTTCAAGTTAGAATAGTTTGTTTAACTGATTGAGAAAATTTAAAATAGTGTATTATTTTAACATTAATGAAATTAAATCTTCCCAATTACTAACCGGCCTAAGTTAGCTATTCATTGGAAAGCAGGAAGTGATAAATAGCGGTTTAGTCCTAGTATGAGAACCTTCATATACAACCCTACCACAAGGAGTCAAACTCATCATTTCTGGTTTCGTAAATTAGCACTTGAACTCTAGATCACTGACCTAGGATCTATTAACTCCAGTCAGCTTACGATATTCTATGACAATTTTACATCGTTTTCAATGAACAACTCTCTCAGACGCAACGCGTTCAAACTTCACTGGTTACGACTTAAAAGATTATTTAGATCTTCATCATTCATACTTAACCTAGTAATACTTGTAACAGATCTTAATACTTAATGTTCCCCTGATAGTTTTTCTACTGTCTTACAATTGAAAATTAGTCACTGTTTGCATTGAGATGGTAGTACAAGAAATCCGTACAAGAAATCCATTTGATCGTATCACTTCATATTGGATTTATCATCGATTTGAAAATCATTCGTAATCGATGGAAAGAACACAAGATCTATGGTGAATAAAAGTGCATGTTTCTGATGGATTATTCATTGAATATTTCATCTGAATATTCTTTATCTCTAATTACAATCAGAAACTTGTTCATGATTTATACCAAATCATATATTGATTCGAATTCTTTCACAAGTTATTAGTAACATCTATCATTCACTACTCAACAACAGCCTACTGTGATAGAGAGAGAGAGGTAAACAAGCTTGCGACTAAAGGGGGAAACTAGGAAAAGATGTTAGAAGTAGATAGAATATACATTTCAGAAATCAAATTGAATCATGAAGCAACCGTTTACTTAGAATCTTGAAGGGAAATAGAAAAGAGGAAGGTGAAATTTCACACTACGTCTAGAATTGTAAACAGATATGAAAAGAATGAATATCAACTGGAAAGAATTGTCCAGGAAAAAGTATATGTATGAACTAATATATAAATGAGTGTATTTCCGACTAGACTTGTCATGGTTGTTCGTATATATATATATTTCCCTCTTCTGAACTTGAACTTCTCTCTCTAGTTAGCTAGACTGGGACGCGTTGAAATAGATGGCTTATCTTTCATTATGTCATAGAGTTTTTGTTCCGTTCTCAAATTAGTTGAACTCATAATCTCTTCAAATATACCAATGAAAAATGCTGATGGACGGCTTATGCTCTTCAATGAGGAGTAACTGACGTCAGTAAGTAGGTAATCTCATTTACTACCAATTATGCAACAATTCAATATCTCCGATATGCTACCCGTCAATTTAAAATTCATAATTGTATTATTTCATTTATTTTAAATGTATTAACAAAGTTTAAATAATAGATTCTTATGGTTTGAAACAAATCTTTCCCCTTTCCCCTTCCCCGATCCCCGTTTCCCCCCCCCCAGTTTATCAATTTCAACCTTACCGGTTGATGAATGAATAGTGTATTATTTTATTTCTTTTCTTTTTTTAAAAAAAAGAAGCAAACTTAGAGACAAAATCTAATTGGAATAACTTGAAGTATAACAAAAAAAAGAGGAAAAATTGCGAGAAAAATCCATAAAAGAAAAAATACTTTGTAAAAATTAAAAAAAATTTTCTCTTTAAAATAAATCGAAGAATCTACTGAATCGAATTTGGTTCTTCTAAGAAAAAAAAATCGATTTTTTTTTAAATTTTTAATGTTCCTCAAATCATCAAGCTGTTTGTTGATAAGAGTACAAAACTGCCGGAGGGGGGGGGAAAGGAAGGAAGGTGGTAATCATGTATAACTTAATGTTCACTTGATTCTTATTTATTCATAACCGAGGAAATATGAATCTAATCCTTATTGGTTATTGATTTAGTTGGTGTTGTGTTTAATGAATCGTTGTACTATATGGTTAATCCTTATTATAGATGTTAACCAATCATTATAAGATGAACCCATTAGATTTGTGCTAAAATCTGTCATAAAATCCAAAAAATAGAAACAATAACAGAATAATGAATAAGTTTCAAATAAATAAAAAAAACATAAAAGAATCATAAACTACACATACAAAATGATTTATGATATTGTATTATTGAATCGATGTTGTAAACTCGAGAAGTGTCTAACTGATTTTACAATGACTAATTTTCATAAAAGATTTCATGAGTTGATCAAAGCTAAACCAACATTGAAAATCTTGAAGTATTGGAAAGTCGTTTCGTTCCAATAAGAGACTAATCAGTGATGAGAATTCACAATCACACACGTGGGACTCGAACTCAGGACACTTCGTCTCACGTGTAGACTCTTAACCTGTAAACCACTAAGTCGTCATTCAACGGTGTTAATGTCTAATACTAATCAATCCACGAAGTTGCGCTACCGTACACCATTGTCTTCAGTGAGCTAATATCTCACAACAGACCTGGTTGTATTCCACTGGTAACGGCTTCCCACTAGAACTCCACGAGTATCTCTTGAAGTCAGTCACTAGTGAGCAGATGATTATTATCAGAAGGGATTTGTGGAGATTTTTAGAAATTTTCACAGATTGAAATCATGAGTCAGTTGAAGCTAACATTAACACCGTTGGATGCCGGCTCAGTGGTCTAATGGTTAAGTGATGGCGCGCGAAGCCAGTAGGTCCTGGCTTCGAGCCCCGCGTGGTGCGGGATCGTGGATGCGCACTGCTGAGGAGTCCCATACTAGGACAAAACGGCCGTCCAGTGCTTCCAGGTTTTCAATGGTGGTCTAGCTTCAACTGACTCATAATTTCAATCTGTGAAAATTTCTAAAAAATCACCACAAACCCCTTCTGATAATAATCATAATTGTTATTGAGCAATCACTGTTCTCATACATGGGTTGAATTGTAATCGTCAATAAGAACAAAAGAAAATTATAAATCATTATCAGGTATTTACATATTTGCTGAATAACTTAGTGAATATCTGAAGCCATTAGTTTAGCGGATAATGTACTGACCGTTTGAAACTAAAGGTACTGCGTACATTCAATTGATAGATCAGTAATAGGATGAATTGTACATCTTGTATTTGATGACAATGTACATATATCAACCATATTAGAATATCATTGTTTTAACTATTGTCAATCAGAATTCAACAAACTTAATATGGGTTTAAATCACAGATGGTAATCGAATTTATCAACTTATTGTTAAGACAAGATGGACATAATCATAATAATAGTGCCCGCATTATCATCTGTCTGCTTTAAATTTTGTCTGTAAATTACGTAATCCAAGTTTATTTTACCAGCTTATAAGAGAGAAGAGATTTTGACACCAGTATACAATGACTATTTTCCTTTTTGTTTAGATGATGACATTTATATTATTGGAAATGAATGTCAGTTAACTTGCTGAAGTCATTAATGATCTATTAAATCAATGATGGTCTAACTTACATCGACTCGTAATTTCAACTGGGAAAATGCAACAATCTCCATAAACCCTCATGCTGATAATGTTAGTTAGACCATCATTGAAAACCTAAACGATCATCTTATCCTAGTATGGGACTCCTCGACAGTGTGTATCCATGACCTCATATCCGGGAACTAAATCCAGAACCTTAAGCTTTGTGTACAAATGCTTAAAATTAAGACCAATGACCTCGTTTAACCACTTCATAATATTTTATAGTAATCTTCCCATGTCTTTTATAAGTACCTGTTTCATAGTCTATTTGATTGAACTTTACTAGTCATAGCTTAGAAATTTTCCCTGATAGTTCGAAAACCATGGTAATTCTATAATCTCTACCATACTCTATGCCATAATCATTCCTGTCTAAAATTTTTAATTATTTTCATTGATATATCTTCACATCAAACTGTTCATTTGCTACATAAATTATCATAGGTGGTCGACACGTGACCAACATGTGAACAATAATCCACAGTTCCACTTTGAGACATTCCAATGGAGGGGGGTAGAATCAAAAATAGGTGTAAAATCTATTAGATTCGAATTAGAGGATAAACTTATTTCATAAAATAAAAAGAAAAATTAGGAAAACTCAAGTCTTTGTACTTGTTCCCTCCCTCTCCCTCCCTCTCTCATGTCAAGGTGATAAAGGGAACTATGTTTATAAAATTCGAAAAAAAAATGATAACACCCCCCTCCCTAATTTGTAACTAAGTGCAATTTAATGAGTAATATGCAAGGGGTAACAATAGATTAACTTACCTTTTATTTAACTCAATAATCAAATAAATAAACTTTATATTCATGTTCCATTTAGTTTATGCATATAATTATCATCATCATCATTTAATAACCATTGAAGATGAGAAACATTATTGTATAAATTTAAAGTTGATTGATTTTTAGATAATAAATTAGATGAATTAATCACTGATGAATTTGATAATGATGAAATTGGAGTTGTTGGCATATAGCCAACATTATACCATGTTGATAATGAATAATGATTATTGATTTTTGATAATAATTCAATTTGAGATTTAGAACTATCATAACCGGAATCAGTGAATGATGAAGTAGAATTAGATAATAGATGTTTACCAGTTCTATCGTCCTGTCGTCTAATAGGATTTAATAGATTGTATGAAGTTGAGTCAATTATTGGTGTCGATGTTATTTCCTTAATATCATTGTGATCATTATTATTAGTAGTATTACTATTAGTATTAATGTTTTGGTCCCAATGAGTCGGAAATATCGGTGACAGATATAATTGATTTACTGATCTTCTTTCTTGAATAGATATGTCTCCATATGGTGGCATAACTTTCTCGAAAGATGAACAGGAGGTCCCTGATCTTACTTCGTTGCGATTGATTTCAAATAGTCCAGCTGATTTAGATAGTGATGATGATGATATAAATGAATTGGTTTGTTTAATCTTATTATTTGTACATGTTTCACCTTTATCAATATAATCTGTTGACTGATTAATCAAATTAGAACATGAATTTTCCTGCCCATGTAATACTTTATCCAAATGTTCAATATACCATATTGCTTTTTTCAAAGTTGATATTTTACTTAATTGTTCACCTGAACGACATGGAACTACAGCTCGAAGACGATCAAATCCCATATTCAATAATTTTACACGATTTCTTTCTCTTTCATTACGTCGAGTTATATTCATTGAATCCGTATTCCCATAAGATGTTGATGATGATGATGATGCCGAATATGTTTTCAATGTTTTATTAAGAGATCTATCAAATTTAATAGGACATACAATTTCTGATCCGGTATAGGTATTCGACAAATTTGCTAAAGGTTTACGTAACTTTTGATTATTCAGTTTATTCCAATTTTGTAAATTAATATTCTCATTCGATTGTAATTGAGCACAGCTCTTATTATAAGTTCTTTTCATAGTTCCAATTTGTTGTTGACTTTCAGACATTGAAATAACTTTCTTTTTATTCATTTGTATAAAACAAAATAGAACATGGACAGTAATCACAATCACGATCAGCTAGGAATTATTTGAAATACAATCGCTTGAAAAGCAAGTTCAGAGACCTGATCACATTTGAGTAAGTTTCCCTATTTATACTATATTTTAGCCAATCTATCCACCCACCACCCACCCCCACCCTCTTAAATTGTCACATTTTTTTCCTTATAATATTTGGAGAATTTCATATACAGTAATAATAAAAAGACTCGTGTCAATGCTTTCATAGACAAAATCTTGCAATTTCATTGGTTACTCAAAGTCATATAGATAACACGTGGTAGATTACTCGTGCGCTAATATTAACCAATCAGCATACGCTGAATTATTAACCAATCAGATTGCAATATATGAAATGATCGGTAAAATATTTCCCTGATTGAAATCATGAGTCAATTGAAGCTAGACCATCATGGAAAACCTGGAAGCACTGGACGGCCAATTCGTCCTAGTATGGGACTCCTCAACAGTACGCATCCACGATAATATATTAGATAATTCAGTTATGGTGGTCTAGCTCCAATTGACTCATGATTTTAATCAGTGAAATTTCTAAAATCTCCACAAAATCTATTGTGATAATAATCATCTGCTCACTAGTGACTTCAAGAGATACTCCTGGAGTTCCAGTGAGAAGCCGTTATCAATGGAGTTCAACCAGGTCTGTTGTGAGAAATCAACTCACTGAAGACAATGGTGTACGGTGGCGCAACTTCGTGGATTGGTTGAAATTAAACATTAACACCGTTGGATGCCGGCTAAGTGGTCTAGTTGGTTAAGCGCCTGGGGCGAGACTGATAGGTCCTGGGTTCGTACCTCGTGGGGTGCGGGATCGTGGATGTGCACTGCTGAGGAGTCCCGTACTGGGATGAAACGGCCGTCCAGTGCTTCCAGGTTTTCCATGGTGGTCTAGCTTCAATTGACTCATGATTTCAATCCGTGAAAATATTTCTGTTGAAGGTGTTTTCACTTAATAGAACTGTGAATGAAAAGATTAAAATTACACCTTAATGCTTTCGTATAGGCTTCATGCAATTAAGTTGACATGCTGTGAAGTAAGTAATAAGGATTAGACTTAAACATCAGTGTCCTTTGTTTTTATTATTATATAATAATAATCATTCTGTATATCGTTATTTCTCTTCGGAAACAGAAATCCATGGTTCCATCTGTATGTCAAACACTAGATATTCTTCACAAAAAGGAGTTTCCTAATAGCTTTAATTACTATAAAAGGTTTTTGATGGGACTGTTGAATTTCATAGTTTACTTAATTTCCTGAGATTGAGTAGATAACCACTGAAAACTAAGAGGTGATCAACAGTTGCTTCGTCCCAATTTAAGAATTATTCACAATCCACCGCATATGATTGAACTCAAAACATTCAGAGCTCGAGGTGATCTCTTAAACTTCCAGCCACTCAATCGTTGATGGAAATCATTGAGAAATCTCATATTAGAATGAAGCTGATGTCCAGTGCTTCCTAATTTTCCACTTGTGTTTATCCATAGTTGGTCAGTGATATTCACTACTAAGATTTTAAAAGAAATAGTTAAATCTTGAACCACTGCTTAGTAACCCTTTTTAACTTACTAAAATACCTATTTAGTTGAAGACTATGCTACAGATTCGAAAATATTAGGTTTATAAATATTCAGACAGCATAATATTTTATTTTTGTGTTGGTTGTTTGAATCTCCACATTGATGTTTAGATCTGCAATTGATCCGTCTCTTATTAGCATATGTGCATCCTATATGGATTATCTCTGTATTGTTTTGAGTCACAAACATTCTAAGCAAAGATGGATAGTGGCTAGTAGTGGAATTCGGGACGCGCGTTTCTTCCTATTTGAGACTCATCAACTGTATGAACTTTCACCCTAGAGTTGATGTTCACTCCAGGACTCGAACACAGCACCATATATATATATATTCTATGTGTTTCTGTTTTTCGGCACTAGTTCCAAACGGGATTACTCATCCATGATGTCAGGATAGAATATGTTCATACTACTTTATCATAGTAAAGAATGACATTTTATCGCGTAGTTAATTCACGGTCTTCATTGAAACCTACAAAATATTCAGTTTACTGAGATCATATAAATATTTATATGTGCTGTTTATCATCTATGAAACAGTGTTGTAATCGTATCTTATGTAACCTAGATGAAGCCAATGTTGAAATCATAAGAATATGGTTTAAAATCAGTCAGTTGTTAGAAATGGTAATAATTTGTTGAGTAAAATAGAATACGGTAAAAGAAGAGGTTGTACCAGTCTCTTTTGTACACATAATTCTGGTTTTTCAAAATGTATGGCTATTGCCTCGGCAATGCAAAGGAGATGTAGTCTAATTGTCTTAGGAAGGTTTCTACTTACCTTGTAGATGACTTTGAACGCAGAGTCTGTCTTGATTGAGTGACCTGTGTTCACAAGGTGTTCGATTATAGAACTTCTTATTGAACCGCTGCCTCCTCTTCTTAGCCACGCCGGACAATGTTCTTGAATTCTTTTGGATAAAGTACGCATCGAACGACCTATATACCTAGCTCCACAAGAGCAGGTAAATTGGTAAATGCACATTGAATTGGTCAGATGCGATAATTTATCTTTCAGATTATTGGCGAACAGTGATCGGCTGGAGAATAATATTCGCAATGTTGCTGCGAAAAATGTTCTTTTTAAAGAATCTGAAATTCTCCTCTTTAAGATATGTGCGGCTCTATCGCCTTTGAAGTCGATGTTCATGTATAAAATTTTCTTTTCTACTGCAGTGGTTTGTGGTCTTGGCATTTTCGGTTTCATGTTCTTATCAATGAATATAGAAGGATATCCGTTTTTGATAAGTATCTCTTTTAAAAAACTCAATTCTTCCTCTACGAACTCAGGGCTACAGATTCTTCGTATTCTTGTGGCGAGAGTGATTATTAAGTTTCTTTTTCGGCTGATGGGAACCCAACTGTGGAAATTTGATAGTTGGCCATTCCATATGGGTTTCCTGTAGATAGATCTTTTTAAAGTACCATCTTGTTTCCTTGTTATATCTACATCAAGTTTTGGATTGGGATCATGGATCGATCAATGTTAGACCATCACTGAAAACCTAGAATTAAATATCTACTATTTGTTACTTACTTACTTACTTATTTACTCCTGTTACTCCTAATGGAGCATAGGCTCCCGACCAACATCCTCCACCTGGAGCCCCTCTTGGGCTACTGCCGGTTCCAAAACCGGATAAAGGATTAGGGTTGAGCATGGGGTTAGCGACCCCATTCCGTTGAAAACTAACTCGCTAACAAACTCTAACCAGAAAAAATATACTATTTGTAACGACATTCTGTTGTGGTTTGGAATAATGGCGAAACTCTGGAAGATGTGGAATCCTTCACATACCTGGGGAGCATCATCGATTAACAAGAAAGACCTGATGCAGATGTAAAGGTGAGAATTGGGAAAGCACTGGCCGCATTCCTATAATTGAAGAACATATGGGACTCAAAACAACTGGTAACCAACATCAAAGTCAGAATCTTCAATACGAACGTCAAAACAGTACTACTGTACGGAGCTGAAACGTGGAGAACTACTAAAACCATCATCCAGAAGGTACAAGTATTTATAAATGGTTGTCTACACAAGATACTCAACATCCATTGGCCGGATACCATCAGCAATAGCCTTCTGTGGGAGAGAACAAACCAGTCTCCAGCTGAAGAGAAAATTAGGAAAAGACGATGGAAATGGATAGGACATATATTACAGAAATCACCAAACTGTATCACAAGACAAGCGCTAAATTGGAATCCTGAATGGAAGCGGAAAAAATGAAATCCAAAGAACACATTACGTCGAGAAATAGAAGCAGATATGAAAAAGATGAACAATGACTGGAAGGAACTGGAAAGGATTGCCCAAGACAGAGTTGGATGGAGAATCCTGGTGTGCTGCCTATGCTCTTCCACGAGGAGTAACAGGAGTAAATAAGTAAGTAAGTAAGTCTAGTGTGGTTTATAGAAATGAATCAAAATAAGACGTAAGATTCTTGGTTTATTAATTAAAAATAAATTTTAATTTATGATGCTATTCAAATTGAAAAGAATCAATGAAATCTCATAATAACCGGTAATTAGTGATCTCTTAGACAGACCTATCCAGTAGAGATCTGAATTATTTTATTCCATTAAGGGAGGTGTCACATAAACAGACTGTCTCTTTGGATGACTCGAATGTAAAGTTATCAGTGTACTTGCTTTTATCGACCAATTCACACTGTCATTACAAAGCATACACCTGACAAGTGCATATTAGAGAATACCTTATGGGTAATGGAAGTTAGTCAACAACTCAGTCCTTGAACACAGTCAACTCTATTCATTTCCTTCCATGAGGATCCCTTAATTTTCTAGTTTAATATCGCTAATTTCTATCTTATTCCTCACCTTCTATGTATTCATCCTTTAAACAATTATTCGAGTTGGATGGTGGTTAGCAATGGAATTTACATGTTGTATATTTCAAAAGAAACTGACTAATTGCAACCCAAAACATCAGTGTCAAGACTAAAACAACCAATATAAATGAATTAGACAATTATCGGTTATATTTTTTTTTAGATAAAGTGAAGTGTATCAGCAATAAAGTTGATAAAGCCTCATAGGAGAAGTTCATTGGTTCTTCTGGAAAGAAGACTGTCAGTTTTCGAGGTGCATAAACCCACCGCACAGTTATATTTTCTTGCGGAAATCGTTGAAAACCCCTGGGTCTTAGAGCATGGGGGTCTCACCTGGCACCGGTATACCTTATAGGTGTACCGGTAACAGGTTTTCACCCATGAAACCCATATGCATACTCGCCTCTTGGAAGAGTTGATGGTCATTACTCACTTCATTCGCATTTACTATACGTTACATACATATCAGAGGTACATAAGCTTGTGCTCATGCATATTATAGCATACATATAGGCACAAGCGCTCTTAAGAGAGATCTGATTGTCAACACTCCCTTCATCAGTATTTGTTACACTTCATTTTTGTTTGGACAGACCTATTTTTGACTTAGGACAGGCCTCGTTTTTTGACAGAGGGCAGGTTGTCTACTC